GAGAGTGTAAAGACTAGAATTCTACAGTATAAGCTTTGCCAGTCATTTATTTTTAAAACTAAAATTTAGTGTTGTAATAACATAGGTCAGAGATATCATTTAGTTTATTTAGTCAACGAGCTTGAGTCGTGCAAAGAATGAAGAATGGAGAATAGAGAAGAAAAGTTGAAGTATATGCTTAAAGAACCGTTTCTTGTTACTCGACTTATTTTCATAAAGTCGCTTTTATTTTTCGGTCAGTAATTTCAATTTTATTTCGTAAAAATGGTAAAAATAAAAATATCTACTGACTCAGTTAAATTATATTGACCACGATAAATGCATTTACTATTAAATTGGTAGTTTAATAAACTGAATATTTCGATTTTAGTGAGGAAAAATGATTAACCCACCTTTCAAATTCTATTTAAATAGTTATTGGAATTTAAAAAATTTTTTATAACAAAAATAACAATGTTTTATTTTTAAAACAAGAAGGAATCATTCGAAAATGAGTTAAAAGTACTTGGAATAAAATTAGAGATTAACTGAATGAGAATTTGAAATTTGCAAATGACTTTATGAGTTTTTTAAAAATTATTTCATAAACATGAATAAAGATAATTGAATTACATTTTCAGTGAAACTAGAAGGAAATATTTCATCATCTTATCTATTATAATCAAATGTTTTTAAAATAAAAATGTAAGAGTTACATAAAAATTTCGTATTTTCATTTACTGAAATGAATTCATTGCACGTTAAAGTTTGCGAACCCTCGTGTACAACAAATCTCATGTTACTCTCGCCCACGTAACTCGTTCATTTTCATTCGACGCTAGAAAACTTTTCATTCACCGTTCTAGCTCTTGTCCAACCCTTCGATTTATTTCCTCATACGTGTCGCTCGTTTTTTTCACTTATATGCAAGCGAATCCACGTTTAAAACAATGATTTTTCATTCTTAATCCGAATTCATATTGTACTAACGCAACATTTAATTCCATTTTTATTGTACCATTCAATTATAGTGTGCGATTTTTTGAAAAGTAATAAAGAGTTCAAAAAATTGTCTTATTGTACTAAATAGAATTTATTTTATTAGATCTTTATTAAGAGTTGATAAAAATTGATTATTCATAGCTGACTAAATCAAAGCTACCATGGTTACAAGGTACTTTAGAACCTTATTTAAATTTGTAATGCATTTAGAACGATATAATTTGAGAGCTTAAATTAGAAACATAATTTTCAAACAAGGATAAGCAACTTTTGTTCATTTTATTTCAAGTAGTTCTTGTGTTTTTGCTACAAGAGGAAGTAGCACAAACTCTAGATCCATGAAGGATTTTGTATAAACTCTTTTTTCTACTTCGAAAAAGACAAAGGGCACTTGTTCCTGCTCCAAAAAAGCTGGACACTATTTGATTCCAAGGAAAACTTGAGAGAGATATAATTATATATATAGCAAAGCTGAACAACTTTTGAGTTATCTGATAACTTTGGATCAGAACAATAAAACTATCTTTGAGAACAGCATTGGCCAAAGCTAGTTCTTGTTGCTCAGAGTGCTTTTCAAGTAAATCCATAGCTATTGTAAGAGTGAGTGACCACAATGCTGTTCAGGAGTTTATGTTTAATTGTTTTATCACTGACTCTCTCTTTGCTCCAAAAAAGTGTATTTATCTAACCCTGCAGAGATGTCGAAGAGTATAAACAAAGGAAATTTTTATGAAGTATTTGAGTTAATTTTGTTCAGGTCTGATTTATGACATCTACATGTGGGCTTGAAGTCTCTTTCATTAGTTCCATGAAAGCTGTAAAGAGCTCTTGGAGTCAACAAAGTTGAATCTACGAAGCTCTTTTGTAGAAAGTGCCATTTTGTCAAGTCAATTAGACTTTTATTTCATTGTAACATGGTTAATTACCTGTTTTTTGTTCAGATTGAAAAGAGATTATTAAAATCAAGGACAAAAATGGCGAAAACTGGGTTAGACCAGGAAGAAAAAGTGTGAGACCTGCATAAGTCTTTATTTTGCCTACTTCAGCTGAAGAACCGTATTGATACTTATGGATCCAGGTAAAAAAAAGGTTGGTAAAATTGTATGAATCATATTTGCTTAGATACTAAATAACTCCAACTAGCTCATAAATCCTTCTTGTACATTCTTTTTACTCTAATTTTATTACTCCAATCCCAATGTCATCCAACCTAAAGCAAATAAAATTATGCATAGAAACTAGATAAAGAAAATTCAAGGCAGTTATTTTTGGTCTAAAAGACAAAACAACATCGATCATAAATAAAATCAATCTTTTATCACACTATAAAAGTTTTACCAGTTCAATACATCCCTAGACAGTTCTCAGTATTTTCCAATCCCTTGAAAATTCCTTGACACTCAATTACTTCTTGAACCCTCTGCTACCTGAGACATTTCTTCCCTACTCTTCAATATTTAGCTAATTTCCCACTTTCCTCAATTTAACAAATCAAATCTATTAAAGAAGAACTGACACTTTTGGATCCACCCCACAGAATTTCCCTTCCTGAATCTGATCCACCTTTCTCAATCATTCTGCTGTGACTCTTTGGAAAGACAAGATCAGCCAAGTACAGGTATGGAGATTATCCATTTAAAATACTCATTCAAATAAATATATTATAAATTGTATTGCTTCTTAAACATTAAATAATGAATATAAATTGATTTTAAAGTCATTTTATCTTTATCATGTAGAATCATTTCTATGTATCATCACTTTTTTTTTTAAATAAATATTTTTTCACCGATAACAATGTTGTAGCATAATTAAGAAGATATAAATAAATTAATAAAATAATATCCAATGTAAAATAATCATTTATTTATCCTTTCCCTCTAAAATTATCTCTCAGCAGAGGTAGAATAATCCAAAGGCCCTCGGCCTCATCAGTATAGCTACCAATAAAAAATGTGGGCCAAAAAAAGCTGTTAAGTGGTAGGTATTTAATATTTCCTGTATCAGATAATATTACCAATAAAATGAATAATTAAATTATAATTTCATATCGATTGATTATTTTTATTACTTCCCAATGGATACTCAAACAATTATTCTATTTAATAATATACTAATAGCTTTTGCTGGCTGTTTGTAAGTTCAGTCTACCAATTAACTGATCTCTCAGTTGGAATAGTTGCAAAATAATTAAACGTATTTTATCAAAATGTATTTAGATACCAAAATAACGTTTAGTGTGGTGTTGTAATAATGACTCAGTGCGTTGGGCGCGTGTTTCAGTGGCATAAACGCAGGGTGTATAATCATCCGTAGTTAATTCTACCTACTGAGAAAGGTGGAGGGTCCGAAAGCGACACCACTAATTGAACTATTAGCAGACACGTCATGCCAAATTAACTAAATACCTTATTATTTAGTTTGAGTTATTTTTATTAAGTTCCTAATTACATAAATACTATCAGAATAATCAGATTTCTTCATGCTAATAATGTTATTTCCTTTTTAAATATTTTTTCATTCACAATGAAAAAAATAAAATAATTAGATTTATTATCATGTGTTAATTTTTCATTTAACATCTTAAATGAAAAATTAACACGTTTTTTTAATTATTTATAGTAATAAAATAAATTCTACTATGAAAGTTAAAATGAAAAATTAGCTTATGATCATAAATCCCACTATTTTATTTCTCTCAGAGTATCATTATAGAAATTAAAAATTACAATTCATAACAAATGAATGATGTTGACAAAAATGTTGAAAAGTATGTGTGAGTGTAATTTATTTAAATTCAATAATTTTAAGCAGGATCTGGCTCTTTAAAAATCACTAGAATATTTTTGAAGACCTTTTGATTTCAAGCTTCATCGTGGATTTAAATATTCTCGCATAATACTCAGCAGCCATTACACGAGTGCAGTGAATCAACATAATTTGGATGTGAGCCATGTAGGAAATGTCAAAAGACTAGGGAAGCTGCCTAATGAAAGCAAATTTTAGATACTAAATGCTCCAAATTAGAAGTCGTATTTAACCAGAAATATTAAAGCTGTCAAAATTTATTGTTGAATAAAAAATAGTGTTGTTTGTTTTTATTTTTTTTTTCTTAGAATTATGTGAAAAAAAAATTTGGGAAATGTTTATAAATATTTTTAGATTGAAGATAAAATAATTTTAGAATTTGGAATATAAAATTGATAATTTTTTATGTGACAGATAAATGGAATCTGCCGATAAAGAGATAAATTCTATAATGCTTAGAAGAATTGAGACATAGAAATTCGTGACTACTGGTACCTGGGAATCACAGGTGGTGTTGGAGATAATCTGTTCACTAGTTCTTCGTTTTATGTAATTACATTTGAGATAGGCACGAAAATCAGTCGACGAATTACTGATGATTATTCACCAAAAGTTATTAGAATTTATATAATAATATTTATTAGGATGAATAATGTTGAAAGAAAATGTGAACTCATTTTTAATATATTTCAAATTTATTAAATAAAATAAAACTTTAATTTACATATCATAAATGAAATTATAATCAATCGATATTAATGCAAAGAAAATCAATTCCATCTTGAAATGATAATTATTTATTATAGTAATATTCGTGACGATTTTTTGTTTAAGACAAGCAAAATTTAAAAGCGTGACAAGGTTTCATTTTCTTTAAACACTTTCTACTACAAACTCCCTCTCTTTCTCTCTCTCTCTTTCTGACCTGGCAGGTTTTCAAATCCGACTAATTCTCTTTGTAAATTTAGTATTCGGAAATACAGTGAACATACAAAATGGTGATTCATTGCAAGCAACTCTTCTCTTAATTTACGAGAATAAATTGTCAATTGTATAAAATTTATGTCCATTGATACTTTCAACTAGAATTTGATCGCACTCAATTTGTTTAGCATAAAATTCATTTAAAATAAATTTTGAATTACAATTTTATTCCCATAAATTAGAAGAATAACGAACGGAATTGATGCATTAATTAAGTCATAACATACCTCAACTTATATTCACTGTATGGTGATGTTTCTGATGATCTGTAGTTATTTCCAGTCTGCAACAAAAAAATTATCACTCTAATTAATTTTAAAATATGAATTAAATAAATATAATTAATATTTGTTATATTTTAATTAATAAGCTTTAATATTTCATTGTCGACGATTGGAATAAACAAGTTAATAAATAATCCGAAGATAATTTTTATAAATAATTTAAAAAAAGAAATCATCTTGTTCTGCTTAATAAAATCAATAGTTTATTGCAACTACTTTGTGGCAACAGTAAAAGACAGGATGCAAGAAATGACGTCATTTTAAAGTGACATTAATAAACACGGTGGTTAACCTAATAATATCATAAAAAACTAAACAATTTTCCAGTTAAACAAATAATCATAAAAGAAAATAAACAAATAAAAAATCTCTCACAATCTCTGTTATAAACAATTGTTTATAAATAAAATAAATAGCAATTTATTATTTTTTATCCATTTTTGATGCCACAGATAAATTCAACTTAAAACATCATTGTTGTATTATTTTTTTGCAATTTATTGTTAAACTTTTAACAGATGAATTAATCACAGATGCAACGATACAGATGAAATCGAATACTATTACACAAACAGGTATAAATTTTCTATTATCATTATGATCGTAATAAATGTGGAATATGATTCCATGATTGATAACAGTCCATAATGGATCATGAATTTTATTCAAAGCTCACCTCGTTAATTGTACAAATATTATATCTTACTATAAATCCATACAGCAGGCTTTACAACAAGTAGTATTGTTTCAATGCACCATTGCTAGAATTATTAACTCCTAGTACGCTTTCCTATTTCAATTAACAACACCGCAATGAGAATTTCCTCCACAAGCGAAATTTGATCATTAATAATCATACAATTGAATGTTATAAACATTCAATAGAGGATTAAAAATTCAACCTCTGTCTAATAATAATAATTAATTAATAATGTTGCCCTTTGATTCCCGCACATTATTTATGTCTGAGTACTCACGTTCCATATCTACTTCGTACCGCACGAAACGAAGCAGTGGAATAAACAACTCAGCCAGTCCGGTCGACTGCATATCAGCAAAGGCTGCCAAGATTGCCAACGTTTCCATATGACTGTTGTGTATTTTTCATAGCTTTCATTCAGAAAGGGACTTTACACAAAGCTCCATACACTCGAGATATGTTATTTTCTGTTGCCTCAGGTGTCGAAGAAAATTCTCTAAATATTAAATAAAAATGTTTTTTTTATTATTGAGGTAATTTATATTATAATTGTAAAGCTTTCAATGATGATAAATAAAATTGAGAGTTATTTATTAGTGATTTATTGTATATTTATGGCTTTTTCAAATGAAGGTGAGTATATTTATTATGTTTGTATTTCCGTTGTAGAGGTGGTAATTCTGATAATTAATATGATAGGAAGCTTGGAGAATTATTAAAATAATTTCATTCAGACGAGTGATATTAATTATATGGAATAGTATTGGAGATTTCATTTTTTATGCTTGATGTTATTTAGTATTTTCGTCTGATTTATTACGTTATTTATTTTAAAGGGAATTAGTAGTTTTTGATAAATTTGTCTATTTGTAGGCAGATATTGAACTTCCGATATGCCCTGAAATTTTAGAACTGTTAGAAACTATAAAGTTGTATGACTTGACATGAGTAGAAGATAAGTGAAAGATGACCTGGAAACTTTTTTAGTTGAATTAAAAATCCCTTTGGAGGTCAGGAAAGTGAAAAAGAATTCTAATAATTGCATGACTTTTAGAGAGCCACAGATCAATAGTTCATTGTTTAAAATTTCAATGATATTTTGTTCTTTTTTTTTTTATTATAAAGTAATTTTTTGAAATACGAAAATAGTTTAATATGCATTGTTAAATAACTTTTGATTATATTTCATAGTAAAGAGATAAAATAAATAACATTGTAAAGTTATCTGAATATTTTTATTATAATTTATGTCTTTTGTTTAATTTGGATTGATATTATTTTATATAAAAATGTATGTAATGCTAAATGCAATATTTTATTTTAATTGTCATTATTTTGTTGAGAAAATCAATTCAATGGAACACTAGAATACACCAATACTCAAAAAATTATGTTATAGTTCCCCTTCGTGGGACTGTGGAGAACGTTTGGGGAACAAAGTTTTTTTTCTCTTTGTTGCGGCATCACTTGGTTTTTTGCTGATAATTCAGGATCTATGGGGCCTATAGAGAAAATAAGGATATCTATGGATTCGTGAGAACGGGATCTTTCGATTGCAGTAGTTAAAATTATAATATTAATGATAATTAATGCTAAAATTAAAGAAATGTCCCGTTTTACCCAATTTTAGGGGTGAAATAATTGATTTTTTAAATGTTTGACCCGATTCCGCATTTCTAGGCATTGAGAGGAAGAGAATGAGTGGTCAAACTTGAAAATCGGAGCACTTTGATTTTTCACCCCTAAAAAATGGCAAGTGGTACCCCTTTCCATTTTTTTAGGCCAAAAAATAAAAGTCCTTCGATTTTCAAGTTTGACCACTCATTCTCTTCGTCTTGATGTGTAGAAATGCGGAATCCGGGCACCGCCCAGAAAAACTCACTTTAACACCCTTAAACAGGGGTAAAACTAAATACAAAATACGAATGATCCTCCCCTTGACTTTAAACCCCTATAATTCATGAACGGGCAGACCAATAACTGTTTTTAGGGACGTTTTTGAAACCTAAGAATCTGAGCTATCTAACAATATCGGTAGATTTATTAGAAAAAATTTCCTTCACCCTTAAAATCGCTAAAATATAAAAAAAAGTCACATTTTTTTGGGACGTTGCTAACTATTTTGGCAATTTTAAGGGTGAAATAAATTTTTTAAACATTTTTTATGGATATGTATCGTTAGCTGAGATTCTGAAGTTTCCAAAAACCTCTAAAAAATCATTACTAGACAACTTGGATAAGAGTTACAGAGGTCCAAAGCCGAAGAAGAGATGATTTTTGACCCTTGCTTCGACTTTGGACCTCTGTAACTCTTATACAATTCATCCATTGATGATTTTTTAGAGGTTTTTGGAAACTTTAGAATCTCAGCTAACGATACATATCCATAAAAAATGTTTAAAAAATTTATTTCACCCTTAAAATTGCCAAAATAGTTAGCAACGTCCCAAAAAAATGTGACTTTTTTTTATATTTTAGCGATTTTAAGGGTGAAGGAAATTTTTTCCAATAAATCTATGGATATTGTCAGATAGCTCAGATTTTAAGGTTTCTAAAACGTTCCTAAAAACAGTTATTGGTCTGTCCGTTCATGAGTTATAGGGGTTTAAAGTCAAGGGGAGGATCATTCGTATTTTGTATTTAGTTTTACCCCTGTTTAAGGGTGTTAAAGTGAGTTTTTCTGGGCGGTGCCCGGATTCCGCATTTCTACACATCAAGACGAAGAGAATGAGTGGTCAAACTTGAAAATCGAAGGACTTTTATTTTTTGGCCTAAAAAAATGGAAAGGGGTACCACTTGCCATTTTTTAGGGGTGAAAAATCAAAGTTGTCCGATTTTCAAGTTTGACCACTCATTCTCTTCGTCTCAATGCCTAGAAATGCGGAATCGGGTCAAACATTTAAAAAATCAATTATTTCACCCCTAAAATTGGGTAAAACGGGAACTTCCTTTAATTTTAGCGAAAATTATACCCTAATTATAATTTTAACTACTGCAATCAAAAGATCTTGTTCTCACGAATCCATTGATATCCTTATTTTCTCTATAGGCCTCATAGTTTCAATTAGTATTCTAATAAATGCATCTCAATATTCATTGTTTCATTAATCAAATTCAAAGAGTGACCACTCCAAAAATAAGTGTTACACAAATAAATAAACTCGAGCTAGAAAAAAAAAATGTATACACATATATTTTCGATTGCCTATAAATAAACTAACACTGAAATAAAAAATAAGCAAAAAAAAAAAACTTAAAAGAAGTGCGAGAGACACATCGAGATACTCAAGCACTGATCGTTTGTTTATTTTACATACTTGTTTTAATAACTAGAAATAATAGTATGGTGTAAGTAGTAATATCATAGGATGTTCTTAGCCGTTGTAAAATATGTTTTAGAGCAGCAGTAAGAGTGAGAAAGAAGTTCAAGTAAAAACAATGAAGAAAATATAAAATAAGAGAACAGAGAAGTGGAATACAGAGAGATAATACAGCACTTGGAGAGTATGAGGACAGAAATAAACTAGGACTGTAACTCACCTACATGTGAGGGGATAAAATTGTAGAGAAAGAGTAGCAGAGATAGAGGAAGCAAGTAAGAAATAAGTCTTGAGTGATCCAGAGTCATGTTGGTCCAACGAGAGAATAAACGGTTCAAGCAACTGGCTTTTTTATTATTTTTTGTTTTCTTCTCATCTAATTTTTTCGTATGATACTTTTTCTTTAGTTTTCAATGTTATATGAACAAAGAGTAGCCACCTCAAGTTGCTGCTCTAGACGTTATTTTCGTCGAATTTCATCGTAAGATTGGATTTTTTTATTTCTTACTTGGTAATATGCCCAGTGAGAATACCACTAGAGAAGGATTTCCGAGAGATCTTCAACTAAAAAAAAGAAAAAAAAGCTCAAACACTAAAAATAGGGAAAAGAGTCCGGAAAGAATCGAAATATAGAGATAGAAAGAAGTAGTGAAGAGAAAACGTGATGCTAAAATATTAATACATTCGAGAAGGAAGAAACACCGGTGATTTTTCATGCTAAATCTTTTAGCACATCCCGAATTTTTCTATTCTTTTCTTCTTCAATGTCAATATATTGGCAGTGCATTAGGAAGTACAGATATCGGAAAGTTCCCGTAGGCTTTTATTCTCAATAATAAATGATAGAATCATTATTTTGTCATTTGTATCGAATACCAGGGGATATTGGAGATACCATCAACAACTTGTATCCTTCTGACTGACAATTAATCATTCTAAAACATTTTAAATTATTTTTTATTGCATTTTTGACTTATTT